TTAGAAACCAGTTCCTGGATGATGATGGCATTATCAGACGCTCTTCTATTTTTCATGAAGCTATCCTGATATGGACTGATCAATTGATCGAGGAATGGTTTAAGACGGTTTACATGATCTTAGTAATTAGCTTGTAGATAGTATTGCATAAACCAATAGGACTGAAGTTTTTAATGTTGTTGGCATTGTGGATTTTAGGAATAAGGCAGAGAAAGGTTTTGTTAATTTCAGAAGGGATTTCTTAGTTATTGAAAATGTGATGACAAAGGTTACAAACTGATTGATCTATGTGATTCCAATATTTTTGGAAGAAAAGAGGATGTAGACCATATGGACCAGGAGATTTAAATGGTTTGAACGAAAAAAAAAACTCTTTTAATTTCACAGTCTAGAAAGGGGTGTCTAGATTGCCTAGGTTGATTTTATTACAATTAAAATGATGATTTTGGGGGTTAGTCCTGCTAGTTTGTGAGTGAGAAGTTGTAAAAGTTGAGGTAAAATAATTATGAACATGAGACATAATAAGATTATGATCATTAGTCCAATTACCAGCATCAGCTTTGAAGAAATTAATTTTGTTTCTTCTTTTCCTATTGGTGGCTGAGACATGGAAGAATTTTGTATTTGTGTCTCCTTCATTTAGCCACAAGACTCTGGACCTTAGTTTCCAATAATCTTCCTCAATTTTTAGAATGCCATTGTATTCATTTTTAAGATCTAATTCTAACTTACGAAGGAAAGTACTGGTAGTATAACTATTGGATGTTTGGATACCTTGGAGTCTAGCTAGTAATTTCCTCTTCCTTCCCATAATATTACCAAAGGTGTCGTTTTTCCAGGGTTTTAATTTTTCCACAAAGTTAAAGCTGGCTTTGAAGTAGTCACTACCATACCAATTATTTTTCACTATAGTCTGGAATTCTGGATGTTTACACCCGAAAGTCTCTAGTCTAAAAGATATTTTATGCAGAGACCTATTTTTAGGAATCAATTCTATAAGAATAGGGTTATGGTCAGAGTGGGTTCTGGTAGGTAGATTATTGAGATTTTAGGGAAGAGTTCAATCCACTCCTCATTTACAAAAACTTTATCTAATCTTTCCATTATAAGACCTTTTTTATTATGCCTGTTATTTGTCCAAGTGTATTTTCTACCTTTAAAGCCTAGATCGAGCAAGTTACACTTATTGATTTTTGACCATATGCACCTAGCTCTATTATCCTTAATAGGTTTACCACTGAACTTTCACTAGCGACTAGAATATCATTAAAGTCAGCTCCTACAAGCCAAGGCCCTTTATATAGAAGTAAAAAGATAAGGTTTACCTATAGGAAGTACCTCTATGGTTGCATGGATTTCCTACTTCGTACGTACTGCATTTTTAACATTGATTAATTCATCATTCCAAATCATAACCATGCCTCCTGACTGACCCTCCGAAGGAACTTCAATCATCTCCGTGAACCCAAAGTCATTAAGCAAAGTTGTATGGTTAACCATTGTTGTTTCTAACAGTGTAACCGTGCAGGGCCTATGGGTATCAATCATTTCCCTAAAAATTCTCCTGAAGTTTTCATTGTTCCCTCCCCTTATATTCCAAATTATAAAATTTGTAGGACGGTTTATTGATAGATTACTTTTGGATTTGCCCTCTCTCCATTCTCCCTAACCCCTCCCCCCCCCCAAAAGGACATGGTTTCTTCTCATCGAAGGTACTAGGATCAATGCTTTGTTGCCCACTGTTGGATCGTGTGGTGGACGGATGTCCATCGAGCGCTTGTATAAGGCTAACGTGCAACTGAGCACATGCCTCTTCTCGTGCCTCTTCGTAAAGAGAAATTTTTTTATTCCGTCTAGGTTTGAGAGAGTTATAGGACTTGCCCTAAGTTAAGGTTTAGGGGGACATCGTCTTCCTCCATTTCTGCTTCTACTGTATCGGGTATTGGGTCTGCCTGGTGATGTTGTCGAGATACTGGAGGGGGTACCGATGGGTTTGGAATCTCTTGGTTCCCCTGGTTGATGTCCCAAGGAAGAAAGATGGGATTGAGATGGGTGTACATCTCCGAGGGGAAGAAGGGAAGGTCCGCGGGAGCATTTTGAGGGTTTATGGGGTTGAACTGGGGTGGGATGCTCCATTGCTCTCTCATTACCTGAGCTATTTGAGGGTTTAATGATGGTGCCATTGGATGAATGATGATGTTTAGCCAAACTTGATTTAGATAGTTGTTCATGGCTAATCTCATTCCTTCCGTTATGAGTTTTGCTAGATATTGGGTGTTGTGGAGGATTACTATTGCCTCTTGACCGTTGATTAGGACCGTGAAGGATATTGCATAGCCCATGAGGCCTAGCTCCATCCAATTGGTAGGATGATAGTCTTGCGTTTGAGGGGGTTGGGCATAAATTATCTGAGGGTGTTCCTGAGGGTGAAGCGCTGGAATGTTTTCCATGTTGAAAGGTCTGTGTTGGAGTAGAATTTGAATTAGATGGTTCCTCCTTCGTAGGGATGAAGGAATCCTTGGCGTTTTGGATAGCATAAGGAGTATTTAATGAACTAAGAGTAGGCGTGGGGATAATGTTAATGGAGGGGAGGGGCGGATTGGTGGAAGAATCAATGATTGAGCATTCCAATTTTGTGTCTTTTGGTTGCTCAATGTCTTGATATGTAGGACTATTTATTGCTTCTTTTTGGTTTTCTAAGGGTGTGGCCATTTGGCTTTCCTTTTCTTCTTCCATTGCCATTTGGCCAACATGCGGTGGGATGATGAATTTGCCAAATCTTAAGGAAAGATTTTGTTGAGAACCTTCGGATAACACGATTTTAGAAAGATTTTTGCTTGGGGGGGGGGGTTTAGAGTAGTATGGGTATGATTATTAGGAGGGTTAGTAGTGCCCATTAAGGCACTATTTTGCATGGCATTGTTTGTATCTAAAATGTTAGAATCATTTGATGCCACGTTGGAGTCACTCATACAGGTGTCTTTTCCTCTAAAGGCCAAGTCATCACTTAATTGATTAAATTTATTACTACAAAGAAAATTAGTATTAGCCATTGTAGTTTTTGGAGAAACTGTTTGCTTATTGTCTAAGAAGTGGTTTTTGGCTAGACTAGTGATTTGATCTTTAGTAATGATTGGTCGAGTATTAGCTTTTGAGGGCAGATTAGAAGTGGGATGATCTTTAGATTTATATTGAAGCATTTGAGTATCCAAATACTAACCTGTATTAGCATTGAACAATTTAACCGATATACCTGGACCACTACTGCCTTTTGCTTGGGTGTTGACAGGTCGAGATGGAATTTTTCTACCTTGATTTCTTCTCTTATTGAATGAAACAGTTATCCATTGTGCTTCAGTATCTTCCTTTGTATCTGTAGGTTAATGTTCTTGTCCTGCATGGTGAGGATCATTACTTTGTTTGTTGATATAGTTGCACTGTCTCATTGTGTGACCAAATCGACCACAATTTTTGCAAAGTAAATCTTCCCATTCATAATGAATGTATTGCTGGTGGTGTCCAACAAATAGGTAGGGTTGGACTGAGATTTCTAGAGGAATTTCAACACAAATCCTTGCATATCGACCTATTAGGGTTGTTTATGTGCATGTGTCTATTTTCAGTAGGCGTCCTATTGCATTTGCAATTTTTTCTAGGATTTTACCATCGTAAAATTCTATTGGCAATTGAGGAAGCCTAATCCATACAGCGGAGGTAGGTAATTTTTCATTTTTAGCCACAAAGTTTTGTTTCCATCTGGAGATGGACAGAAAATGGCCATTTATGAACCACAGACCTTGATGGATAGCTTTGTCCATGTTTTCCTTCTTTTTGAATTTGATGATATAATAGTCTTCTCCAAGATCAATTAGTGAGAAATCTTCCGTTGGATTTCGTAGATCTTGAATTTTTCTCTTTAGATAATGATGTAGCATACGTTTTCCTACTAGTTTGATTATGATAGAATATTTTCATGGTTCATAGATACGTTGTCTATCTTCCGTGGAGAGGGTAAATTTTATAAAACCTCT